TTGCCTAGGCTAGTCCAAACTCCTGGGCTTAAGCAATCCTCCCACCTCAGCCTCCCAAAGTGCTAGGATTACAGGCCTGAGCCACCATACCCACCTTCTCCTTTTTCTTAAACCAAAGCTGTAGGGTATGGTGGAGTTCCTTATAAAGTAAGGGGGAAGGAAGCCAGTATTAAACTGAGTGCTTACTATGGGGCCTCTCATAGGCCACTTAATACTGACAGTCCCTATGGGATCGGTATTATTTCAGCCCCCTTTTACAGAAGAGGGAACCCAGGCTCAGAGTACAAGCAGATGTTCCCAAGGTCACCCAGCTACTAAGGGGTAGAGCCAGAGTTTGAATCTTAATCCCAAACCAAACCACTGACTCTTTGGGGTCAATCACCAAAGGTCTGCCCTACTCTCTTAGAGCACCTGATGGCCTCTCTGTTAACCGGAGAGAACCGACCACTGACATGTAACTAGCTCCTTCTGCTCCCCCATCCCCATACTAAGGCTAGTTTGATGGTAAAAATTAGTGACCCAGTTCCTATATTGTCACACCTGGCAACCCTTCCTGAAGCTTGAAAGGAACAGTTTGAGCACAAAGGTCCACTTTACTTACATGAAGGAAGATAAAGGCATGAGAAACAGTCATCTCAATAAATGCAAGACATGAGGATAAAAGAGGTTCTCTGCTTTTCCAGCATTGTTATTACAAAGAGAGAAACCTACAATTAGTTTGTTAAAATTCAAGGCTCCAGGACTCATCTCTGGAGCTGATACGTCTTAAATACTATTACAGTAGGGGAGGGAGAGGAGACAATTCCCCATCCACTCCCCCAATTTGGCCCGTGTAGCTTCCCTTTGAGGGTGTGTGACTTGCCACCTGCACAAGTCATGGCCAAAACAGGAGCCAAAAGGCCAAACTACCATCAATCTAGTCTTCTACAGCACCCTAACAGAGTGCCAGTGTCCTCTGCCCCCTCCACACTTGAGGGCAAAGTTCCAGGAAGTTTACTGCCGGTGTTAGGAGGTGAGCTCAAGTTCAGTGTCTCTGCCTCTGGCTCCACAGAAACCAGCCCCTATCACGTGGCTTCTGGAAAATGTGCCCTCCTCAGGATTGGTCCAGGGAGTAGTCACGGGTAGAGAACGTGAAGGGAGGAGCAGTTCAAACTTGACCTTGACCCTGTGTCCAGTGATGAGGTGAAGTCTGTCTGGCTCACTCCATTCTCTGCCATGCCCACCTCTCTGCTGGCCCTGCCATTGCTTCAAGGAGGGCTGTTCCTCTTGGGTGAGGGTTTTCACCCTTGAACTACAGTGCCTTTATATGTGGTCGGGGGGAGGGTGGGAGGACTCTGGGATCTCCCAGGCCTTACAAAAGTGGAGGCACATAAATACAAACCTAAAAACCAGCCATTTCCTGCCAGCAGGTATCAACTACCCCCACGGCTTCAGCTATGGCCAAAGAGGCCAGCGTGGCAAAGTCCTATCTCAGGTCTGGCTGATGGCAGGGAGCCAGGAGGTGTTAGCACCCTCCTCAGCCCTTCACTTTGATGACCGTCCTTCCTCATGATCATCAAAAAGGTTAGGGTTCTCTGCCAGCGTGGCTCTCACTTTCTTCTTCTCCTTGAAGCGTCCCGAGTTGGAGACCTTGACGTGCTTGCCCTTTGTACTCTTGTCCACGATCTTCTCCAGGCGGGTGTTAAAGTCGCTGTTGGGGCCTCCAGCGTCAGGCCTTGGGGGTTCTGCGCCTCCCTCTGTTTGGGCATAGGTGTCAGGGATCTCATACAGCACCTTGGGAGTGGATTTCTTTTTCCGGAGGAAAGTCAGCTTCCACCAACCAATTTCAGTCGTCATGGCGCTCCCTAAGCCGAGGGTGGGGCTTTCTGCTGGAGCAGGGTCGGGGAGACAAAGGGGTCAGTGGGAAAAGGGAGTGGGTGCCTTTGGACCAGCGTGCTGTAGACTCCTAATCATGGGCTGTTTTAAGAATTAAAGAAAGGGCTGGGCGCGGTTCCTCATACCTATAATCCCAGCACTTTGGGAGGCCAAGGCAGGTGGATCACCTGAGGCCAGGAGTTCAAGACCAGTCTGGCCAATGTGGTGAAATCCCATCTCTACTAAAAATTAGCTGGGCGTGGTGGCACACACCTGTAATCCCAGCTACTCGGGAGGCTGAGGCAGGAGAACCACTTGAACCCGGGAGGCAGAGGTTGCCGTGAGCTGAGATCGCACCACTGCACTCCAGCCTGGGTGACAGAGCGAGACTTGTCTTAAAGAAAAAAAAAAAAAAGAAGAAGAAGAATTAAAGAAAGAATTTAAGGTAGGGCTGAATAAACCCAAGACTGAAATCAGTAGGGGTGACACAATGCTTTTGGAGAGTGTGAGACAAGAAAAGGGTCAAAGTCAAGGTCAAGACAGGGAAGTCACCCGCCAGACAGAGAGGCAGTGGGATAGGCACACACCATTGCCCTGCAGGGTTGTCGGGAGCTTTGAGATAATTCCTGCCAGGCCCCTCAGGGCCATAGGCAGGTGGACAGCTTGCCCGAGTCACACAGCATCCAGGCCTTTGATGCTTTTCCCGAACTTCCCACTACACCACCAGACCCTGCAGCCAGGTGTGGGCAGACCATTGACTGGTAGCATAGGGAGAGAAACGCCCTGTGCATTTTGCTTGGAATTCATTACAAAATTAAATATAATTAGTGACATTTCAAGCAATTTGAACTTCCCAGTGGTGCCCAGCAGGGCTAAAGTAGCTGCTGGGCTGTTCCTAAGGCAGGAGTCAGAGCCTCAGGCTGGGAGTGGGAAGTCCTGGGGGCTGTCCTAGCCTCATGACCTCTGGCAAGCTACCACCTCTCTGGGCCTCCATCTCCTCACCCATCCCATCCAGCCCTAGTATTTAGCTCTACTGTTAGTCCCTGCCCACAGAGGTACCCATGCATTGCAAAGTAAAACTTAGGATAATGGGAATAATTACTAAGGGATGGTTCCCTTTCCCCACCAAGCTTCCACAAGGACAGGAGTTGGAAGGGGAGCTAAAAAGGCAGAAAGCAATTAGAAGGATCCCAGAAGTACAGGGAGACATGGTCATCACGGGTTGTACCTTTCAGGGTGGGGCTTGGGGCTGAAAGCCAGGCTTCTCCACTCACAGGCCATGTGCCCTGCCATGGAGCTGCCTTCCCTGGGGGCCTCACCTTTGACTAATTTCCACAAAGGTGCTGTCTGAGGTAGCAGAACTTCTGGGAGAGAAGGTTGCCTGGACATCATTGATAGCTGGGGTATGTAAGATAGAAGCAGATGACAGTCTGCTAGATGAAGGAAGATCAATGACAGAACAGGTAGAGGAACGGTGATGACTGGCGAGGTCAGTGGTCTGGTTCTCGGGACGCCTAGCTGCCGGCTGTGAAAGCTCCCAGGAAGGAAGGCGCAGCTGGTATACACCAGAAAGCTAGAGGGTATCACCTCCTTTTAAAAACTGGAGGGGTGTTCACTGCATTTTTATAGTGACTTTTTTTTTTTTTTTTTTGAGACAGAGTCTTGCTCTGTTGTCCAGGCTGGAGTAAAATAGCATGATCTCGGCTCACCGCAACCTCCGCCTCCCAGGTTCAAGCGACTCTCCTGCTTCAGCCTCCCAAGTAGTTGGGATTACAGGCATGCACCACCACGCCTAGCTAATTTTGTATTTTTAGTAGAGACGGGGTTTCTCCATGTTGGTCAGGCTGGTCTCAAACTCCTGACCTCAGGTGATCCACCTGCCTCAGTCTCCCAAAGTGTTGGGATTACAGGCGTGAGCCACCGTGCCCAGCCCAATAGTGCCTTTCTTTGTGTAGGAGTAGAGGATTTCTCTTCTCTAGTTTTCTGATTTCTGGAATTTCCGTAATTAGTATAGATTATTTAAGGGTTGGGGGGCATATCAAATTTAGGAAAGAGGAGAGCATGATGTGGGCCTAGGCTTTACAATGAGCTGAATGCCTGCATCCATACCACTCGTGCTCTGGTGTCCTGATCCTCCATGTCCCCACCCCCTCCCTCAGAGCACACAGCCGGTGGGTTCCTTCCAACACCTCTCTGTCTGGGAAGCAGCTCCCACATTGCCAGCTCTGTCCCTTTAGCTGGGCTCAAGTAGCAAGAGAAGCTGAGGGGAGATCTTGTGCAGCTCATGCTCAGAAAGTGAAGGAGCGGTGAGAGGGGCTTGATAAATACTTCCAGGGCACCCTGGAGAGGTGAGCGCACCTAGGGACAGCCTGAGAGGTTTGCTTTGGCAGCTTGCCCCACCTGGGCTTAGCACAGCCTTGTACAGAACTTAGTGTTCCAGAATGGGTTTCTGGAAGGAGGTGGGGGAGAGCAGAGAAGGAGGAACAGGGCAGTTGCTTGGCCTGTGGATGCCCCAGTCACTGCCTTGTCTGGAATGAGGCCCACAGCCCCACCACTGCCCATTTGGGGCTACCAAGGAACTTGGGGAATGGAAGAACAGAAGATCCAGCTCCTGAGACTGTCATAACCACCAGATTTTCTAGCTCCGGAGAGAAAAGGGCTTCTGCCTGTGCCCGTTAAAATTCACCTGTTTTAACAGGAATTTCAAGTTGGCAAACCTGGGGCTTAACTCTCCTTGGCGTAAAGGGAGCCACAGATCACAAGGAACTTGTCAGCAAACTGTAGAGATGGGAACAGCCCTTATGGCCTGCCCTGGGGCCTCCATCAAAGCATCAGCTCTGATGCCCTTGCATTCTGGCCTTGTACTCTGGTCTCTCTAGAATACTCTGCCAGAGGCCAGGTGCAGTGGCTCAAACTATAATCCTAGCACTTTGGGAGGCTGCGGCAGGAGGATTGCTTAAGGCCAGGAGTTTAAGACTAGCCTGACCAACTTGGGGAAACCTCATCTCTACTAAAAATACAAAAACACAAAAAATTAGGCGGATGTCGTGTCGTGTGCCTGTAGTCCCAACTACTCGGTAGGCTGAGGCACGAGATTCCCTTGAACTCAGGAGGCAGAGGTTGCAGTGAGCTGAGATTATGCCACTGCATTCCAGCCTGGGTGACAGAGTGAGACTCTGTCTCAAAAAACAAACAACAAAAAAAGAGAATACTGTTTTTGCCAGGCCTTCCTGTCTGTTCTGCCCAGGAGGACATGTGGGCACCAGTAAGCAGGTGTTTGCCCCATTAGGCAAGCTGGACTTATGGAAATCTGAGTTTGCAAAACAGAAAAATTAGCAGACTATTCTTTGTTTTACAAAATAACCCAGCTGTAGGATCCTGTAAATAGTCATCATAAAAAATAGTGTAAAATCTGATTTGCTTTAAAAACAAGCAAACAAAAAAGGTGATGTGATATCCAAACTTCCCAGATTCTCAAAGTTGCAAAGAACAAGATACCTACAACCGCGTGCCCGTGCCTCATCACAGAGGGCTGAAAGGGGTTGGGGGAGTAGGGGCAGGTAGCTTGGGACTTCAAACAGACCCAGCATTTGGTGACACATGGTGGGCCCTGCAGTTCACTCGTGCAGGTTCCTGAGCTGGCCAAGCTAAGGGCTGGGCCCTTGCCCTGGGGCCTTGCAATCCAGGGATGATGGAAATCAGCCCCTGAGGATGCCAGCTTCACCTCTGCTGTTTGCACAGCTTTGGGGCCATGAAGGGCCTCATGGGACAGCCTGCCACCCCCGGTCTTTGGTGGCCAGTGCTATAGCATGCACATGGGTGTCCCAGGACAGGCCCCTCCATTCCAGCTGGGTTCAGTGAGCTGCTCTGAAGGGCTTTGCCCAGACTGAGCCAGGCCCCTCCTGAGCTGGGTCAAGTTAACCATTGACTGGGGCAGAGGTGGAGGGGCAGGGGGACAGATAGGGGAAGCAAGTCAGCTAATATGTTGTAAGACAAAAACCCAGAACTCCCTCCCCCATCCCTCTGCAGGGCCCCAATGGCACTTAGGGAGCCTGCAGGATGAGACGGGGGTACCCCGGATAGGAATGGGGAGATGTTCCTATCAGACAGCTGGAAAAATGCTCCAGACTGGGGGGTCAGAGGGGTGGGCTCCAGTTCAGCAAGAGTTAACAGAAAACTACTCAGCAGTCGCTCTCTTGGAGGCCTGGATTGACTCCAAGAGGCAGTGGGATGAGTCCTGAGTGGAGACCAGGTTAGAGGCCTGGGTTCCTCTTTCCCACTGGGCTTGTCAGCCATGGAGGCAGAACTGGATGCCCTGACTGGAGTCTGTGCCTTGGTTTCCCCACCCACCACCCCTCTGCCTGTACCTGTAATCCTGACTGCTCCAGGCTGGAGGTGAGACCTTTCCTAGAGAAGCAGTTGAGTGTAGGAGCTGCCTGGGAGGGTGAGACTCGGGGAGGAAGGGTTGCCTCCGGGGTGCTGTATCAGGCAAGGCTCAGCCAGGAGAGGTGGGTAGGAGCAGCTGCACGTCAGGTGCAAGAGAAACAGGTGCAGGAGCTGGTACCTGCTCTGCTGCAGCTCCTGGAGTCAAGGTGAACCTGAAACCCAGCCCCTCCCGGCTAAGTAAACAGAAGCAGAGGCTGGCTCAGGCTGATGAATATTCATTATGCCAGAAATCCAATCCCAGCGCCCCTGCATCCACCCAGAAGCCAGGGTCCTCCAGGGACCGCCACGCAGGAGGAGGGAATCCCAAGGGAGATCTGGGGTCAGGGAGCACAGGAGGCTGTCTCTGTTTCCCCACTCTTGGGTGTCTGGTTGCACTCCCCAGCTATAGGCAAGGTCACCCCACCCATTTCATCTTCTGAGGAGGCTCAGACCCCTCTGCAGTATGGACCACCACCTGGATGTTGCCCAGGGCACAACCAGGAAAGAGTTAAGGGCTGCTGCTTCCATTGGCAGGCTGGGTAGGACGGGGTGCACCCCAGCTTCCTTTGAACTCCCTGAGTCGAAACCAGTCCCTGGTTAAACTGGTTGGCAGACCGGTTCCCAGGCTGTCCCTCCCCTGCCTGAAGCCACAAAGTGGGGACTGGGTTGGGGGCTGTGGCTTCCTCCTGACCTGAAGAGCCCCTCCTCAAAATCTTCCTAGGGAGAAAAAACGAGCACCAGCCTCTCCTCGGGCCAGGCTCTCCAGACCCACCACAACCTCAAACACCGTCATTCCTCTCCCACTTTGCTTGGAGGTGGGCTTCAAGGCCCTTGAGATCTTATGAAGAATTCCATGTTTGTGGGCAGAGGGGCATTGCTTCTTCTGCATAGATTATACTTTTATCAGACTCTCAAAGAGACCTGTGACAGTCTCCCCATTAGCAAAGTGCCACTGGCTTCAACTCCTCCCAGATGTCCAGCAGCCTATTGAAAGGCCTTCCTGGGTATTATGAAGTTGGCAAAAGCTGGAGCAAGTTCTCAAGGAAAGGAGAGATGGGTCCCTAGTGAGGCTGGAAGAGAAGGAAAGGCAAGAAGGCAGGGGATGGGCACATGGTTGGGGACAAGGGTAGAGTGTGTGCGCACAGGGGCCATTGTTCTCACTGATCTGCAGTCTCACTCCCCCTGCAAACCCACCATTGGCCAAGCCTGTGTGCAGCCCTCAGCTGGGGCTGCTCTTGGCAGATGGCTCCGTGATTGGGGAGCGTTGTTTTGCAGCCACCCGGAGGTGGCCTGTCCTGTTTGCGCCGGCATTCTCTCCCCTCGGATGGGCATCTCTGGAGAGTGGAAAACGTCTGCTGCATACTCAGTGTCTCTGCCACTTCCTGGGCCCAGTGCTACCAGCTTAGGTGCCCAATTCACCCACCAGCTACCTTCCTCCATGTACCAGAGGTGTGCGTGTCAGGCAGAGTGAGGCACGGGTAGAGAAAAAGCATAAAATCCCCCTTTCCCTGGCTCTCCCTCTAAGTTACATTTGAAATCTCAGCTTACCAACTCTTAAAGCTGTCCCCCATCTCCAATCCTGCTTCTACTCACTCCAGCTTCTGATGGCCTCTTGGGTTTGTATTCTCCTCCATCTGAAATAGCCCCCTTTCCCTTAAAGAGTCCTTGGGTAGACAGTCCTCCAAAGCCTCCCTACAGCCCACAGCAGAACCCGCTTGGCCTGGCTCTCCTAGGACAGGGCCTCTGCAGCCTCCTTTCGTGCCCACCCACCCCTGCCAACCCTCCCCGAACACTAGGCCCTTCTCTGCCTGCCTTTGTAGGCACGAGGCTGCCTTAGAAGGGTGAGATTAGGAGTGCTGGGTGTGTTCTTGGGTGACAATGTCTTCCCATCGCCTGTGCGACCTAAGATAAACTCCTATTCATCCCTCAAAACCTGAATTAATGATCACACCTCCCACCCCACCAGGAGTTTTCTTGTTTCCCCTTCTGTGTTCCTATAGAACCTGCTCATATACTTCTATTTAACACGATATATATACCATGATTGATTTCCACTTATAGACTTTTAGCTCTTAGATTCCAGAATTATGTGTCACTGATCCAGACCTGACATATAGTAGGTACTTATGCAAGCTTGAAAACACAAATGAGAAACAGAAACATTGTTTTTACCCAAAGAAACTGGTAATGTAGCCCCTTGTTTTGTCCCACGCTCCCTGGGGCAGGTAAACGTGCAGGAAAACCCATTTATTTGCCTTCTTGTGGTTCCAGCTACAGCTGACTTGCTGTCATGTCATCATCTCCCTGGGGGTTGATTGGAATTGAAGGATATAATTTTGCAAGGTCCCCTGCCTCTAGTGCAAAGTACACACAGCTGTCCCAGAAAGGTGCCCACAGCTTCCTAGATCTGTCACTTTCTATAAAAGCCTGGTCCACTCAGAGTGGATATCTGGTTCAGAAGACAAAAACTCCTTCCAGCTCAGGTGTTGGGAAGAGACCAGAAGGTTAGTGGGATGGGCTTTGGTCTGGGGGACAGTAACTCAGAGTCAGTTCCCCGCTCCCCCTCCATAGAGGAAAGGACTTGCCCTGGAGGCACTCATTCCCCGTGCCTCTCTGATGTCTGAGCCCAGGGGAGCAGATTCTTGTTCTCTTAACCCCACACTGAAGAAGGAGCCCCCATAAGTGCCATGGCAGGCCCACCTGTGGCTCTCCCTTCCCAAGCACCACCAGGACCAGGTGCAGGTATGAGGCCCTAGGGCATTACCAGGGAGGGGCCAGCCTGGGGCGCAACCTCTGGCCTTAAGGGCATTTATTTCTGGGAGGAGCAGGACTGGGAGGAGAGTTTGAGATAAGACTGTGAGCTACAAATATAACTCCTCACGTACAGGCCACTTTATTGCTTTTTTTTTTTTTTTTTTTTTTTTGAGACGGAGTCTCGCTCTGTCGCCCAGGCTGGAGTGCAGTGGCCGGATCTCCGCTCACTGCAAGCTCCGCCTCCCGGGTTTACGCCATTCTCCCGCCTCAGCCTCCCGAGTAGCTGGGACTACAGGCACCCGCCACCTCGCCCGGCTAGTTTTTTTTTTGTACTTCTTTTTAGTAGAGACGGGGTTTCACCGTGTTAGCCAGGATGGTCTCGATCTCCTGACCTCATGATCCGCCCGTCTCGGCCTCCCAAAGTGCTGGGATTACAGGCGTGAGCCACCGCGCCCGGCCCACTTTATTGCTTTATAAAAATTTTCACCTTTGGCCAGGCACACTGGCTCATGCCTGTAATCCCAGCACTTTGGGAGACTGAGGCAGGTGGATCACCTGAGGTTGGAAGTTCGAGACCAACCTGACCAACATGGAGAAACCCCGTCTCTACTAAAAATACAAAATTAGCCAGGCATGGTGGCGCATGCATGTAATCCCAGCTACTCGGGAGGCTGAGGCAGGAGAATCGCTTCAACCTGGAAGGTGAGGCTGAGATTGCGCCATTGCACTCCAGCCTGGGTAACAAGAGTGAAACTCTGTCTCAAAAAAAAAAAAAAAAAATTCACTTTTAAGCACACCTTCCTAAAACTAGGTTTAAGTGTAACATGCCATATACATACAGTGTGCACGTTTTCAGAAATGTGTTCTCATTGAGTAAAGCAAGTTAAATTCACCTAAGGGAGCCCCAAAGACCTTGGTGCCCTTTTGGGGTGCACAGCCATGGGGCCCCATTGAATTACAAATCCAATCAGCCTGGCATATCCATCCCATTTTACTGACCTCTGCCCAGCAAGTAGATCTAGGCTTCAGGGATATTTCTTCCCCAAAACAGGGAGAAGAGAGGTGCTGCCATTATCCTCAGTGTTCCCCCTTCTCTGGAAGGCCAGGAGATTGGAGATCCTGGGGGTGTCCAGCCTGGTCGAGGTGACAAGTGGGGCAAAACCAAAGATCAGTCTCTGGCAGGCTATACCAGGTGCCGTGGGGAGGCGGGGCAGGCAGAAGCTGCATTCTGATCTGAGGTGGGTGGTGGGGCTGCCATTGGAGGGGGCTCTCTCTTGTTTTCATGCGAGGCGTTCCCTTCAAGGAGATCTCAGCAGGGAGTCGGGGTGTGAGCAGCCAATATTAGGGGGACTGTGTTCCAGGCACTCTTCCAAATGTTCCATAGGTGTGAAATTTTGATCCCCACAGCCGCCCCTTAAGGTGGATTCTCTAACCCAGTACACCCATTTGCACCCCCTCAGCAATTTTCCTGTTGATGTTTGCATTTGTTTCCTGTAGCTACCATGAGTTACCATGAACTCCATGGCTTGAAACAACAGAAATGGATTCTTCTGACCTATCCAGTAAGGCAGAAGTCAGAAATGAGTTTAACTGGTCAAGACCAAGGAGTTGCCAGTGCTGTGATCCCTCTGGAGGCTCCAGGGAGAACCTGTCCTTGATTGCTCCAAGCTCCTGGTGACTGCAGGCACTCCTGGGCTTGTGGCCACATCACTCCAATCTCTGCCTCCTTTGTTTTCACTTCTGTGGGTTTGGCTAAACTCCCTCCACCTCTCTCTTATAAGGATACTTGGGATGGCATTTAGGGTTCACCCCGATGATCCAGGATTCTCTCATCTCAAGATGTTTAACATAATCACGTGTGTAAAGAGTCTTTTTCCAAATAAGGTCACACTCATAGCTTCTGGAGATTTGACATGGTTATCTTTGCAGGGATCATTTTTCAGCCTTCCACATTCTTCATTCAGATCACCTCTCTGTATTGTCAGACGTAAGTGTGCTTCCCACATCCTTTTTCAGGGAAGGACTTGCTGCCGGGTCACAGAAGTGTGGTCAGCAGTTGGCCATCAGCTCCTTCAAGGTCTGTCTCAGCGATAGAAAGTCAACTTGCCCGAGGGCTACCATTCTGGGGCAGTGCACTTCTAGAAATATAAAGCCCAGCCATTTCAGCCCCATGAAGGACATTCTCGGGGCAATATTCACTCAGAGGCCCCCACCACATTGACTGAACCTTTGCTGGACCTGCAGTGCAGTTGAATTTCTGCCTCTGCCCAGTCCTGCTTCCATCTGGTTCCTCTCACAGGAAATGATTCCTAATAAACATCTTGCCCCCCCAAACACCACCTACTTCTGTAGAATGCAACCCATGACACAGACATTTCCATTTTTGCCAGTATGATGGAAGTGAAGTGGTCTTCCTCATGTTATTTATTTGTTCATTTATTTAGAGATGGAGTCTCGCTCTGTTTCCCAGGCTGGAGTGCAGTGGTGCCATCGTGGCTCACTGCAACCTTCACCTCCCAGGTTCAAGCGATTCTCCCACCTCAGCCTCCTAAGTACCTGGACTTACAGGTGTGCACCACTACACCCAGCTAATTTTTGCATTTTTAGTAGAGATGGGGTTTCACCATGTTGGACAAGTTGGTCTGGAACTCCTGACCTAAAGTGATCCACCCACCTCGGCCTCCCAAAGTGCTGGGATTACAGGTGTGCACCATTGCACCTGGCCCGTGTCCTTTATATTAGCATTTCCCTAGTGTACTGGATTTAATAGTGTCCCCGAAAATTCACATTCACTCAGAACCCCAGAATGTGACCTGCTTTGGAAATAAGGTTTCCAGATGTGGTTTTCAGATGTAGTCATCCTGGGTTAGTGTAGGTCCTAAGGCTGAGGAGCAGTGTTCTTACAGGAAGAATGTCATGTGACAATGGAGACCATGTGACAATGGAGGTACCTGCAAGCCAAGGACACCAGGGCCTGCCAGCAGCCACAGAAGCCAGGAAAGAGGCACAGCATCTCCTCTGCAAGGAACCAACCATGCTGACACCTGGATTTCAGACTTCAAGCCTCCAGAACTGTGACAGAGTAAATTTCTTTCTTTCTTTTTTTTTGCAGGGGTGGGGGGAACGGAGTCTTGCTCTGTCGCCCAGGCTGGAGTGCACTGGTGTGATCTCGGCTCACTGCACCCTCCACCTCCCGGGGTTCACGCCATTCTCCTGCCTCAGCCTCCTGAGTAGCTGGGACTACAGGTGCCCGCCACCACGCCCAGCTAATTTTTTGTATTTTTAGTAGAGACAGGGTTTCACTGTGTTAGCCAGAATGGTCTCGATCTCCTGACCTCAGGTGATCCACCCGCCTCAGCCTCCCAAAGTGCTGGGATTACAGGCATAAGCCACTGTGCCAGCCCTGTCAGAGAGTAAATTTCTATGTTTTAAGCCACCCAATTTGTGATGATTTGTTACAACAGCTCTGGGAAACTAGACACCTTGTTTCTAGTAAGGTTGGACATCTTTTCATATATTTATTGATCATGTTCTCTGAAATGATCTTTCCTTCCTTCTTCCCTTCCTTCCTTCCTCTCTCTGTCTTTCTCTCTTTTTTTTTTTTTTCTGAGTCAGGGTCTCACTATGTTGTCCAGGTTGGTTTCGAACTCCTGGACTCAAGTGATCCTCCTGCTTCCACCTCCCAAAATGCTGGGATTACAAGCGTGAGCTACCATGCCCAGCCAAAATGATCATTTTTTTCAATGTAGAAAAACTTCTCCATCTCATCACATGAGAGTTGTCTTTCTAGTATCTGCTGACTTAAAAAAAAATCAATGTATTTATGGATCCCTGGCCCCTTTGCATAATTCTATTTATTTATTTATTTATTTATTTATTTATTATTTTTATACACAGGGTCTCCCTCTGTCACCCAGACTGGAATACAGTTGCACAGTCATAGCTCACTGATGCCTCAAACTCCTTGGCTCAAGCGATCTTTCCACCTTTGCATAATTCTACAGCTTTCCAGGGACCTGCTTGCCCATTGGTTGGGAATCCTAACCTACGGGATTACATTTCAATCCTTTATGATGGACCTGAAGGTTCTTCAAGATCTCTCTTTGCCCATCTCTTCAACCTAATTTCTCTCCACTCATCCCATAAACATCCATGTTCCCATAATAAACTTCTTCCTTCTGGAACAGCCATTCTCTCACCTCTGGGCTTTGTCCTTGCTTTTCCTTTTCCCCAGAATGACACCTGTCATTTCCCTTCCTCTTTTCTCTCCTCTCCCTTCTATTACAATTCATGCCATCCTGCAAGACTCAGCTCAAGTGTTACTTCTCCTAAGAGTCTGCTCTGGTGGTGTTCTGTCCTTCTCCCTTGCCTTTTCCCATGCTTAGTTCGGTACTCCTTCTCCTTCTTTCTGTTCCCTTAGCACTCTGAGCATCTCTGAGTGGACCTCTTATTTGCTTTATTATTATTATTTTTTTTGAGACTGGGTTTTGCTCTTGTTGCCCAGGCTGGAGTGCAATGGCATGATCTCGGCTCACCACAACCTCCACCTCCCAGGTTCAAGCGAATCTCCTGCCTCAGCCTCCCTAGTAGCTGGGATTACAGGCATGTGCCACCACGCCTGGCTAATTTTGTATTTTTAGTAGAGACAGGGTTTCTCCATGTTTTTCAGGCTGGTCTCGAACTCCTGACCTCAGGTGATCTGCCTGCCTTGGCCTCCCAAAGTGCTGGGATTACAGGTGCCTCTTATTTGCTTTGTATAGATTTTCTGAGCACCTTCTATGCATGAGCGCAGTACTCTCACACTCTGTGATGACACACTCTGGAGATGCTGTCATGGGATTTGGAAAGTGGCGGGCCCCTCACTCAACATACTGCTACTTTCTTTGAGGCCTAGGACTGTGTCTTCGTGATAAGGTGCTCAGGGTGCATAACGTTGAACTCCATGGGAAAAGAGGCAAATGGATGGGTGGTTTGGTAGTGTCCTTGGTTTTCCTTCTCTTAGCAGATTAGATTCCCACTCCCTTCCATGATAAGTGTGATGAAATAATGAAGTACAGTGGCATCCTTAGGAGATGACACACAGGACCCATTTCATGAAGCCACCCAGGGAGTTCTTTTTCCCAGAAGACTAACAAAGGTGGAGGGATGAGGTGGCCAGGAGGGCATGGGTGGCCAGGGTTAAGGGTGCAATGAGTGGCCCCAGAGCATGACCCAGGTGACTGGCCCCACATAGATTTTCACTGGTCTGTACCAAACTTGTGAAGCTGACCACCCCTAATTTCTTCTCCCTGATTTCCTCCCTTCACTCCCAAGAGGCTCAGGGGATGTTGACTCCAAGTCCTGAGCTGTAGAGGAAAGGATGAGAGAAGGATCTGGGGACCTCGAACCTCTTGTCCCAAGACCAAGCAATCATGGTCCCCACTTATCACAACTACCACCATCATCAAATGCCTTCCTGCACACAGCCTTCCTTTATTATAAGCATCCATTAAGCTCCTGACACTCAATGTCAAGTGTCACGCCGGATGCTGGGGTTATAGAGATGAACAAGTCTGCTTTGGCTTCCCTGCCCACAGGTACTCGCAGATTAGGTGGGGAGACAGACTGAAAAAAGCAACACGCAGGGCATCGTGGCTCACGCCTGTAATCCCAGCACTTTGGGAGGCCAAGGTGGGTAGATCACAAGGTCAGGAGTTCAAGACCACCCTAGCCAACATGGTGAAACCCCGTCTCTACTAAAAATACAAAAATTAGCCGGGCATGGTGGCGTGTGCCTGTAATCCCAGCTACTTGGGAGGCTGAGGTAGGAGAATCGCTTGAACCCGAAAGGCGGAGGTTGCAGTGAGCTGAGATCGCGTCACTGCACTCCAGCCTGGGTGACAGAGCGAGACTCCGTCTCAAAAAAAAAAAAAAGAAAGAAAGAAAAAAGCAACCAAGGTTACACTCCACACAGCAAGAGGCCCAAGGCTGCTATGTTTCCAGAGCTTCCAGCCTGGCAGGCAGATACACCACACACACACAGGCACACACACCACACCCCATAGTCACTGTGGCTGTGAGCAGACACACAGACCATAAAGTAATAAAAATATAGCAGATAAAATAAATGAGTTATTTGAATGTCGAAGGTAAGCCTTCTTTTTATGGATATTGCGGGAGGATAAGTAATGGGCTTCCTTTCCCAGAATGGGGTGTGGTAAGAATGAACTTTGGAAAGGGGCAGGGCCTGCAGGGGTGGGAGTTCTAAGTGTCTGGCACAACAGCTGAGGAGAAAATAGGAATCAGGTCCAAGGGAGGAATAGATCTGAAGCTGTTGTGGCTGAGCCAAAGGGGCAGGCAGGGGTACAGGAGAAGCAAAGGCACATCACACAGAGAAGAAGAATGCAGGCTGGGGAGCCCAAAAGGCCTGGGTTTGAATCCCAGCCCACCAACTACCCACTGTACAATTTTCCTTTATTTTTATTTATTTATTTATTTATTGAGTCTCTCTGTTGCCCAGGCTGGGGTGCAGTGGCACAATCTTGGCTCATCGCAACCCCCACCTCCCAGGTTAAAGGGATTCTCCTGCCACGGCCTCCTAAATAACTGGAATTACAGGCATGCGCCACCACACCCATCTAATTTTGTATTTTTAGTAGAGATGGGGTTTCACCATGTTGGCCAGGCTGGTCTCAAACTCCTGACCTCAGGTGATCCACCCGCCTTGGCCTCCCAAAGTGTTGAGATTACAGGCGTGAGCCACCGCGCCCGGCCCACTGTATGATCTGTATGATTTTCTTTTCTTTTTCTTTTCTCTTATTTTTTATTTTTTTTTATTTTTTTTGAGATGGAGTCTTGCTCTGTCACCCAGAC